GAGTCATCCTAATGCCGAAAAATCCGTAAAGGAAAGTATAGGCTATAGGGCACGAAGCTAAATGCACACCAGGCAAATAGCGTCGCGGCAGCAACGAGGGGTGGGCGCCGAAGCGTCCGGTAACACGTAGGAGCCGAGGTGATGATTGCCGAGGGCTGGCTCCAGTCAATCTCTTTAAAAACACCCTCGGCAAAGTTCCCGTGAATCAGGCATCACGGTGACCCCCTTTGTAGCCGTCGGCATGGCGTGGCTGCCACCCGCGGTACTCCGGGCATCATGGTGTCCTTCTTGGCGTGTCGGCATGATGGTGCGGCCGTTTCGCGTTACGGCATCACGGTGGCTATCTTCGCGTTACCGAACGGCAAGGCGCCACCCGCTGCACCCCGTCGGTTTTCCTGGCCAGAACAATTCTCCCCTCACTCTGAATTAGCCAGGAAAGGCTAATTCACCGTAGGGAGAGAAGAAAGGATAGTCCTTCCAAGTCGAATCTTGTGGCTGGAATGCCCTACCCCTCCCACAGCATTTCCATTTATATTGGTAGCTGCCAGAGTTTTTTTTTTTTTATATATGGGGAGAGGACTGGCAAGGCCTTCCACCCCCAAGCATCCACTGACTCTGATTGACTGATTATTTAAAATTATCTGCCGCATCAACAGGTAAGTTCATTAACGGCAAACACCTTGTTAGACTGAAATAATAGAATATCGAAAATGTTAAAAATTTATTAATAAATATCATAAATAACAATAAATATTATATAAAAAATCAAAGCATAAACATTATGCTCCAAATGTATAAACATTATGCATAATTAAATATTATTGAAAATATTAGTTTCCCTAAGGAACCTAAAAAAGAATTTGTCACAATCCTCCCCTAATATATTTTTCATTGTATATGGGGGAAACCAGTACCTACATCTTTGGCCAGAGAATACTGTACATCTTTCCACTATATGTGTGACCGTTAATGGCTCTTGGCATTCCTCACAGTGTGCTTTTAGCCATCATCGGCCCATGAGTCAGTCTAGTGTGCCCGATTCTCAGCCTTGTTAATACAACTTTTACTTGTTGGTTGGGATGGATGCTGGTCACCCAACTGCCAAGGTCATCTCTAATCTCTCGCAGCTTATTTCTAGAGGTATGCCTTCATTGTTCCCTCCATTTATCACAAAGAAAACTCCAGAGGCTGGGTTTCATGTCAGTGTGTGAGAGAGGAAAACAAGCATCACAGGGCTGAGCGGCAGCTGCTTTGGCCTTTTAATCAGCTCGCTCATTCCCACTAATACCAAGATGCGCTGGCACCCAACACAGAGTTATCTTTTTATGTGCTGACATCAGTGCAAGCCAATCTGGAACCTCCTTCACCACTGGATGTGATGAATTTAAGCTCTTGATTGCTTGCAAGGCACTACGAGAGTCACTATTTATTACAATAGACATGTTCATAAGATCTCTAGTTATCTTGACAGCTGCAAGGATGGCATGTAACTCTGCAGTGAAGATCGAGGCTTGTAGAGAAAGACTGCCAAATGCAGTCTCCCTTCTGCTCACTGCTGCAAAGCCCACACCATTTTCAGATTTTGAACCATCTGTATATATTGCATGTGATCCTTGGTACTTAGAAGTGTTAAAGGAATATCTTTCTGACTTCTGCTTCAAATCTCTCCCATTTCCCAATTCCAATCAAATCCAGCTCAACTTGATAAGTCCAAGGGGTGACCTGGGAAGTTCCAGCCAGAACCTTTGTGAAGATTTTCCACAAGGTTTCTAATTCTACCATAGGATCAGATATTGCGTATCGTTCCTGTTCAGTGAAGATACTGCAGAGGAGATCTCTGCCATGAATTTTGCTTGCTCATTTGCAACATCTGTTTTGTCTGTGAGGATTATGCCATCTATCTTCAGAGGAGGTGGTGATATGGATGTGCTCTTTCCAGCGATCTTACACACCTTGTCCCATACCTATGCTAAAGGGGTCCCAGAGTTAATCAAGGAGACATACTGCCATCATGATGTCTGTCTGACCTTGGCTTGGATCTTTTTGTTCTGGATTAAGGTTACATCACTTAGGCGTCATTTCAACTGCCTAAGCGCAGCATTTCAGATGGTACTGCCCGCTACTTCTGGGAATTAATGCCTCTACTGCAAGGTGAATTCATGTTGTGAAGTGATTAACAGCATCTTGAACACACTGGAAATTATTCACAGATCCTTGCAATACTGCAGTTGATCTAAAAAGAGTCCAGTCTGCATGTTCATGTTGCTATCTCTGCATTCCATTGGCTAGAATAACATTCACCTCCTCCAAAAGTATTGAAAGGGGTCACTTCCATGTAAGTCTCCAAGTGAAATTCAACTGTGAATCAAGTGAACAAACTGACAGGTCAATAATGGAGAATGTCCCATTCAAAATTTGGAAACGTGTGGGTGTGTCACTGTTCAGTAAAACTGCATCTACTCTAGAGAACAAGGACTCCAAGGTCCTTCCTTGAGGCTTGTTCAAAGTGTCTCCCCAGAGGTGATGCCAGCCATTAAAGTCTCCCAAGAGTAGAAATGGATGAAGCAACTGCCCAAGTAGTTCTTCCAAATCATCTATGTTGAGATTATGTGGAGGGAGGTAGATGGATGCAACAGTCTAAGGTCATGTCAAGCCTATTCTCACAGCCTTCACCTGCAGTGTCGTCTGCAGGTGGATGGTTTGGGAGGGAATATCCTGACATACCATCACCTCCATAGGTCCATTATCAAAGGTTCCATAATGGGCTTGAACATGGAATCCTCTCAGGGAAATTGGACGATTTTCCCTGGTCATAATCTCTTGTAGGCACACACAAACTGGATTACATGATGCTTTCAAATGTTGCAGTTCTTCCTATTTTGCATGAAATCCCTGACAGTTTCATTGGATTAGGGTATCCA